GATTCATATAACCAGGATAACAACACTTTATTACTCCTGCCCCAATAACAAAGAAACTGAGGATCTCACAGCAGTCAAAGTGACCATTTGGGCAAGCAGTCCATCATGCTAGGCAGAATGGGTGTGCCCATGCAAACGAGAACAGCTCCTGAAGTCCTTTTCCACCGCTCACCACCAGATGTCAGGGTAGAGCTCATCCTGATTCTGCTTGCATAGTGAATAAATTTTAACTTTTTTGCCAATGGCTTCAATTCACTGGAGGTGCTGTCAATGGCAAAATTCAATTCCCCCCCCCCCCAGAACTCATTTACATTAAAAATTGACTGACATTTGATGATAAGCATTATATTAAGGTTGTTAAACATGGATTTTCTTTTTCAGTCCATGCACTGTGTTCCATCATACTGAAATAGTTATTTTACTGAAGTGCCAGACAGTGTTAATATTGCCATTTGAAGAGTCATTTTTCATGCAGCTTTCATTTAACACTCATGTATATTATAGGCATACTGGCTGGCAGTGGAAGATTCCTACTGAAGCTGTTTACTGTTATCCTGGGCCAGCATCATGAAGAATAGTTTGTGTTCTTAGGGATGATTTTCAAAATCATTGAGGGTTAGGCACCTAACTGCCAGCTCTGCTTTTGAAAATCTCCTCCCTTATCATTACATTGAGGCACCACCACTACTTGGAAACTCAATGCAAGCTTTCAAAATGCAGCTGCTTTGAAATAGCACCATCATAGGGCAGATCCTGCTCCCATTAGTGTTCCATTAACCTCAATGGAAGAAGGATCAGCACACACACATACATATATTTAAATAGTTTGGGGAGCATGTGTCAGATTTCTGTTTTCTTCCCAAAGACTACTTGCGGGGCAAGAATGGGCTGCTGGTGGAGGAAAATAGTAGCCATCTTTGCCCCTCCACATATTCTGAGGTCTCCAGTGCAAGCTGAAGTAGCTTCACAGGGTGGTTGTAATCTACATTCAGATGTAGTGGCCATCTAGGGGATATTCTGGGGACTGGAACTAACCAAAGCGCGTATACTCTATCGTTCCCCTCCTTCCCAACACATGTCCTACCCAAGGCTGGTTGCTAAAAGCTATTCTGACAGCTCTCTGCCATGCTGGGGATATGCCTTATGTTGGGGGAATTCCTTCAGCTGCATGGCATATTTCTATTGGAGCAACGTGAGGGGTCCTGTTGGAGTACAGAACCTGCCCTGTATGTTTATAACCAGCTTAGTTATATGACATATTATGATTTCTGGCAATTCTTCTTTCTGAGAGAGAATTTACAGTCCACAGGACTTTGTGAATACAAAAACCAGGGGAACGGTTCAGAGTAACAAAACAATTAACGGATTTCAGAGTAGCAGCCGTGTTAGTCTGTATCTGCAAAAAGAAAAGGAGACTTGTGGCACCTTAGACAGTAACAAATGTATTTGAGCATAAGCTTTCGTGAGCTACATCCGATGAAGTGAGCTGTAGCTCAGAAAAGCTTATGCTCAAATAAATTTGTTAGTCTCTAAGGTGCCACAAGTCCTCCTTTTCTTAAAACAATTAACTAAATTTTTGAACTACTCACTTTTTTTGGTTTTATTTTTACCTGGCCATCAGGAAGTGGGACCTAACTGAATATGCACTTATTACCTCTGCCCACTTACCTCTTAATTACAATCCTATGCTCAGCACCTTCTTTGAAATCTTTTTGCCTGACTTTATTATAAACCTGAAAATGTTGTGCAATATATTCAAAGACTAAAACTAATGGGCGGGAAAAAAATCTGGGGGAGAGGGGTGGGAAATCTTGGGATCTGCCTGTCTTTTAAGAACATGGACTGGAAGGAGGCCAGAGAACCCTCTGAATCTGATCAATCACTTCTTGAGTATGCTGAAGACTTATTGGAGAGAGAGAATTCTCAGAGCCAGACTGAATGCCTTTGCAAAAACTGCCATTGAAAATTTAACCTGGTGATCTGGATTCAAACAATATGAAATGAGGCAGATTCCCGTGAAGGTGAACATTAATGCAGAATTCAGGGAGACCATGCAATAATGTTTGCAGTATGAAAGGTGGGGGAGGGAGGTGCCATCTGTACTAGCCCTCTAGGCTACTATACTCTCTACATTTAGTGCCTTCTGAGGGAGTCCCTTCTACCAATGAGCCAAGTAATAATGGTTAGGTAATGGAGTATTTGCATGGTTGTTTGTTTACATACCATAAAAAGCCTTTTTTCCCAGAACTATGATAGGTGCCAGTCATCACCTGGACAACTGTACATGTATGCTATATCCAAAGCTGGTTGAAATGTTTTCATCAAAGCATTTTTTGAATGAAAGAAATGGCTTTTCACACAGAACAAAAATGTTCACAAAAGTTGAATTTGTGTTTGGTTTGTTTTGTTTTTTTTCAATGGAAAAAGAAACCAAACCAGTCTGTGATAGATAAACAATTCAGATTTTAAATTTTTTTTTTGATTTTGAAAATAAAAACTTTTTACCAAAAACTGAAATATTTTACAAAAAGCAGGGTTTTTCTTGGGGGGAATCAGATTTTGCCATTTTTTGGGGGGGAAAAAAGGAAATATAAAAAGTGTTAATTTTTTGTGTGAAAATCATAATTGGCTTTTTCCAAACAGCTCTAGTTGTATCCCTTTGTCTGCTTACCTTTTTAGGCCTTGACCCTGCAACTAGCTTCATATGGGCAGACCTTGTATGCACAAAGAGGCCCTGATAGTCACTGGGGGCGAGGGGCGGGAGAAAAAGATGGCTATAAATAATGACACATTAGAATATAATGGGGAAAGTTCTGCATCTGCTTCCCACCCTCAGACTAAAGAAACGGAGATGCCTCCCTCAAAGATGGTATACAGTGTGCTGAAGCATCCAAAGGACAGGATAAGATCACAAGACACAGTGCTGGTTGGAAAGCTGCTTTTATTTTATCATTAAAATATTTTTTTCTGATACAGTTTCCAGTTACTAAACACAGGTTTTATTTCAAAAACAGTAAAAAATTGATAATTTTGTACTTAAATTTAAGATGCCCTATTTTTCTCTCTCTGCTAGGCAATGTTTCTTCTAAGTTTTGACAGGCGTCTCTTTCGTTTAGGCACCTGGAGATCTTGAGCCCCTAAGTTCTAGGTCAAGGTGATTTTCCAGAATGAGTAGGGTTGCCAACCCCCCAGGATTCTCCTGGCATCTCCAGGAATTAAAGATTAATTTCGAATTAAAGATTGGCGGGTGATGGCACTTCCAGGAATATGTCCAACCAAAATTGGCAACCCTAAGAATGAAGCCTTTAGTTCAGTAACCTGTGAGATCTGTTTTGCAAGTAAAATAGCCTTTGCCTGCTAGCACTTCTGTCTCTCTGGTAGGGCACATTTTCATAGTCCATTGTTTTATGTCGCTATTTCTAACTGGCCACAACTGAGTCAGAATCTAAGCATGAAGTCACTGCAAGCTGTGTTCAAGCATTGCACTTGCCCTAGGTAGTCTGGACTTTTTGAGGGGCAGGCCACGCCAGTTGCTGGATTAAGAGTGGCAGTTTACTTAGTGCTTTAATGTAGAGAAGTCTGTCTGCAGTTTTGGGCATATATTTGTGGGGGAGGGATAGCTCTGTGGTTTGAGCATTGGCCTGCTAAACCCAGGGTTGTGAGTTCAATCCTTGAGGGGGCCATTTAGGGATCTGGGGCAAAAATTGGGGATTGGTCCTGCTTTGAGCAGGGGGTTGGACTAGATGACCTTCTGAGGTCCCTTCCAACCCTGATAGTCTATGATTCTTTACAATCTGATTCTCATTTTCACAAGGAGCCCTTTAAGGAGGGTGACCAGACGTCCTGATAATATCGGGACAGTCCCGATTTTAAGTGATTTGTCCCACATCCTGACTGTACTCGGTTGGGACACCCTTTGTCCCAATATCGGGGACTTCTCACTGCATGCACCTGAGGTCCCGGGCTGGCGGTGCTTTGTGGGGCAGTGCCCGCCTGCCGGCAGGAGCCCACAGTGCGGTCCCTAGGCACAGAGGCGGGGGGGGGGTCTCCACGTGGTGCACTGGCTCACATCCTGCCCAATCAGAGCTGCAGGGGCGGGGCTTGCAGTCGCTGGCAGCGGGCAGAGAGCCCTCCCTCCAACCTGACCCAACCCTAGGAGCCAGAAAGACCTGCTGGATGCTTCCCGGGAGCCGCCCCAGGTAAGCACCACCAGGACTGGGCAGTGGGGGAAATCTTTGTGTGTCTGGGCACTGGGGGCCTGTGTGGGGCATTGTTTAGTTGTGGGGCTGTGGGGAAGGGTACTGGGAGGGAGGAAAAACCTGTGCCCCTGGCCCCATGGCTTCTGCTGGAGGCTGGAGCCACGAGTCCTGAGTCCTTGCCCCGTGGCTTGTGGCGCGGGCTGCAGCAGGGGCCGTATACCCCTCTTGCAGCTTCCTAGGGCTGTGTGCCCCCTCTCATGGCTCCGGTCGGGGCTGTGCACCTGTGGCTCTCTTCCCCCTCCCCCGCTCACCCAATGTGTCCTGATATTTCACTCTTGCGATCTGGTCACCCTACCTTTAAGTGGGAGTAAATTATATTTATACTGACTTTAAGTTGCCAGAGTGATGCAAAGTGGCTCTAGCGTAATTGAGAATCAGATCCTTAATTTATAAATTAAACCTAAGATAGCTTTGGGCAGATCCTCAGCCGGTGGAAATTGTCAGTATGTCTGGTGGGCACTCATTTAGAAAAAAACAATAAGGATGTGTCTGTATCCCAAACCAGGCTCTGTCCCAAGCTAAATGTAGAAATGCTCTCTTCCCCACTTTATTGCCCCCTTAGCTGCCTTTTGCCTTCTGAATCCTGTAGGTGGAGGGCTTGAGCTACGTCCCTGTAAAACTTACCCTTTTCCACCCCAAGTTTTGAAATGATGAAGAAGAAGAAGAGGCATATGGGAAAACACCATTGCTCGTAAGTAACTTTTCCTCAGCAACTCCAGTAGCTTAATGCATAATAACAACTGTTTTAAAGTATTTTATTAAATGTTCAAAATAACATAAAATTAATATTAGCAATTTTATGGCTGAGGTTCTTGTATTCTGTGACCTTACAACTTTGACACTGAGGGCTCAAAACATTACATTTTTGAATCAGAAACTTCATAAGTAACATTTATAACAGTAAATTGTCTCATAGGGAAAAGTGTATAGAAATATCAGTTATAACCACATAAACTTTGGGCAGTGGGACAGTAAATATTTTGCTATAAAGAGGGTTCATTCTATTGTCAAGATTATGTTAGGGATCAAGAAATGATATGTAAGCAGTTTCATTTTCTATGGTACTCGTTGAAAAAAATATCACAATGTCTTTCTTTAGTAACTGAGAAACTGGGATAGTACCTTTTTTAATTCTGTTAAATTACTCCTAATGCACACGTTTTTATTTGCCCTTAAGTAAGTTTTTAACCACCTTCTTACCAAGGTGTAGCACCATTTAGCAAGATCATTACTGATACATTTGCTGGGAATGTACAATATATTATCTATTCTGCGCTAGAATACAAAGCCCAGTTGAACAACAAGTTCATTCTTGTTGTCTGCAGTAAAACTTCAGTGCAGGAGAAGCAACAACATGCTTTAAATCATGAAGCTGCAGTTTATTTAAAAACAAACAAACAAAAAGTCCTCTCGCCCCCACACCTTTTCCAAGTTGCATAAGGTTTCATGAATGATTATTTAGCAGTACTGGTGGAGTTTTTTGTTTTGTTTTTTAACCTGGGAAATTAGGGTGGGGGTTTTGACTTCATATTAATTTGATTTAGAAAAGCACATAGTAAATGGTTATGGCCTGGCCTTTCAAAAAGATCAGATAGTTGCAACGTTTCTGGAAGTCATGTGAGATGATTGGTGCTGAAAATGTATACATATGCATACAGATATGTACCCCCCCACAGCCCCGCAGAGGTTGCCTTGAAAACATCATGAGAAGTACCTAATGCAGCAGCAAAAGCTGACCAAAAGTGCCCCCAAGAAATGTGGCCTGGTTGTCAAGTTTTCCTGTAAATGTATTGAAAAATCTCATTTTGCAGCAAATTCTTTAGAAATAAATTGACTTGTCAGTCAAATGGCATGTTCAGATTAATTTGGGGGATTTTTAGCAGGGGTATTTAGTTTAATTTAAAGTATACAATTTGTTATTTGAAAGCTAACAGCTTATGACAGACTCCATATAACATAGAAATCATTTGACAATGAAACAATATTCAGCGTTCCATGGCTTCTACATACCACTCAGCTTATAGCTATAGCCTGATAGGCGTGTATAATCTTGACTAAAACAGGAGTGCATCAGGTTCAGCGTGTCACAGGTTAGTTTCCCGAGTAACTATGACAACTCTGCAGTATTCTGTCACAATATGAGGTGGTAACTGCACGGTAAGTCCACTGGGTACAAATGGTAACTGATCCTATCCTGTTTTGTGATGCTGTGGCAAATAATCTGTCATGATTGTACAGTATGTGACCACCAGCTTTGTCCTCAAAGCTGCTTGTTCATAAAGGGCAGCGGGGGAGCAAGGAAGATTCTAGGTTGGCTCTAGGCTATTGCTTGAGTCCCACCCATGGTGAAAAGAAGCTTGATGTAGCTCTGTGATTGGTCAACAAGATACAAGGAAAGTGAAGCCACTGCTTTGCACAGGACTAAACACGCTGCCTCTGCAAAAATCTCTAGCCCAATTGGCCTCCGCTCATAAAGATGCTATGGGCCAATTTCTACAAACTTTGCTCCGGGTGAGTCGTGTATATTTATGACTCAGCACTGGATGGAATTCGTTTGATTAATGGTTTATTCAACAAAAAATGCAGCCTAGTCACAAATGTGACACCAATAATTCTGGCCATAGCAGGAAGAGAAAGGGATGGTGGTGTTGCTCTTGCCACCCTCCCTTATACTCTTTAGCCCAGTGGTTGGGGCACTCACACGGGATGTGGGAGACTGTGGTTTAAATCCCTGCTGGAGAAGGGACCTACAGTAGGTTTTTTAATTCACCAAAAATTCCCAAAAATGTCACATTCCTTGACCCAAACCAATTTCTTTTCCAAAACTGCCACCAAACTGAAAAATCAGTTATTTGCCCAGCAAGTGTAATGCCAATGAACCAAAGTACGATTTCCTACAGGACCTCTTTAAAACTGCAACTTTTAAAAATAAATAAAAACTAAACTGGATTTGGCTTCATTTTGTCAAAAGGAGGGGGAAGGGAAAGGAGAAGCAAGCATCTGTTTCCTTTTAGAGAGAACTTCCCCTGGGCTTTGAGTTCACTGAAAGAGAGTGGCTGTATGTTGATGAGCACAGGGTTTGGAGACCATTGCAAAAGTCCCATAGACCATTGGTGTGAGGTTGTAAAGATCTCAGGAGCCCAGGGAAAAATCACTGCAAGCCTAAGCTCAGTAGGAATTTCCACCAGGTGGTCAACATAAGCACCAGAACACCATGGCCAGAGTTGTCCTTGATGAGACCTTGTCTGGTCTACAGAAAGATCTCAGCCAATCAGAGATGATGTTCTGAGCCACATTAAAGAGAGGATTAAAGATGTAAGTTTTATCATGCTTATGATCAGGTTTAGAGGAATTAGCAACCTGGTCTTCCACTCAGGAAAGGCAACACAGGTCAGGGGCTATTCGCTGCCAATGCTGGAGTTCCTCAGAGTTGTGGATGAGGCTAAGAGGATGGCAGGGCAGACAGTGAAAGCTCTCCAGAATACAGTTTGCCACTTGGAACAAGAAGAAGTGGTCACAGTTGTGCTTTTGCAATGTCCCCAACCAGCTCTGCTACTCTTCAATGGTGAGAAAGAAAGGGCCCACTTTCCTGCTAGGGTTGCATTTGGCAAAACAGGAAGGTGCCTGGAAAAACTTAAACTTGGTACCATCAGCCTCCTGTGTGAAATGTACTGCATCCTGCTTCTTATGCAGGTACAAGGGTCCTGACATGTTCAAGGCATGTGGAGACACAGAGACTGGTTGGGGTGGATATAGTATATGCGAATGACCAGTCACAAGTAGGTCTGGCCAAAAGAAGGGATGGTGGGGATTAATATAACTCAGAATCTGTGAAAATAATATGCGTGGCATAGATCCTTTACATCAGATATGTTCAGAGCCCAACTGCTTTCAATGGAGCTCCATGTGAGCTGAAAGGTTTGCCCTGGTGCATCTGATTGAAGGATTGGGTCCTTTGTTTATGGGGGCAGTGTAAGATTTAACATTGCCATAGCTATTTGAAGTTTTTTTGGATTTCAGAATGACCCAGGTTTTGTTTATTTTTAACCTTTCATTTTCTCTTGTGTGTCCGTAAATGAAGATAGTGTGTTAAATCAGTGGGGTGAACGTGTCACCTGATTAGTAAAATAAAGGAGTGAGTGGTGCAGGACTAGCTAACAATGGATCCTGCAGAGACAGCCCTGCCTCATTCCATGTGGACCTGACAATTTAGGTGCATTCACTAGGTAGCTATGTTAGTGATACACACCAGTACAGTGCACCTCACCTTCACTTCAAACACTGCTGAAGAGTCATAGCACATGACATGTCCGATCCAAGGCTAGAAAACCACGTCTCCTAATTGCACAAGCAGCAGCTAAGCCAGTAGGATGCAGTGCCTACTAGACACCTCACTGAACCTCTGTGTCCTACATAGCCATCTTTTGTAACAAAGTTTTGCATTTACAGAGCACTTTTTCATCCTAAGATCTCAACACACCTTACAAAGGTGGTTAAGCATTAGTAGCCCGTTTTACACTTGACTTAAGTACAGAGACTTGAAGCAATCTGTATGAGAGGTACTGTGGTCTAGTGAGAAAAGAAATGGTTTTACCATTTCAGAGTGCTGGGGGAGGAGCGTCTATATTCTGGGGTCCACTAAAAGCCTCCTTTGGCAACTTGTTTAAACTCTGTTATTCTCATTTGGAAAATGGCCCTGTAGAGGATGCGGAAGGAGGGGTAACTTTACTAGTTCTTTTCACTTTTTAAAAGAAAAATATTGCTTGTGGCCATGATTTTTTCCTCTGTTGCCTTCACTGTCAGAAGCAGGTATAATTTTGAAATAATGGCCACTTCATAGACGTTTGACTATTTTTGGCCTTGAAAACTGCCTTGTGTATCACATTTTGTGATGCAATGTTACTTGCTTGGGCAGACAGAATGGAAACTTACAAACATTTTAAAAAGGAGTAATTTTAAAGTCTTTTAATCTTAACAAATGCTCAGTCAATTCACTAAATTTAAAGAAAGTCAATGAGACTTAATCATTAAAAATTGAAAGCTTAATAATGTATCTTTTTTTGGTACAAAAATCAGCCTTTCAATGGGACCCTAGTTGCAACTCCTTGTCCGCCTGCTAAGCTGCAACAAGCTGATATGCGCAATTTCTCTCCAACAGAAGTCAATGAAAAATGCCTATTGTCATCCATGAAAACAGGACTGGGCCTATTACTCAGACTGACATCCATGGGAGCAAGATCAGGCTGCATGATCCACATAAAACACTGTCACTAACTTTGCTTAATTACACTTTCTTCAACAAAGCGGGTGCATGAATTTTCAGGGGAATTTAACTATATGGAAAGTTTGAAAGGGTAGTAACAAGCTGTTTTTCAGCTAGACAAAAGAAATGTTCGCCAAAAATCAGAATTTCAAAGCATGGTGATTTTTTAAAATGACTGATTCAAAAACACCTTTATTAATTTTGTTTAAGGTTTGCACAAGCGTTCGCCTTCATGTTGAGCATAAATACAACAACTCTCAGGCCACACAAACTTTCCAAGCAAGAGCTATAGAAGTGATAAGAGGGCTTTTTAATGGAAGCCAAATTATAGAGAGACTAATTCCTCTCCATAGTAAAGTCACTTTGTGTGTGTGTGTGTGTGTGTGTTCATGCTGATAAAAAATGTACACAGCTTCTGTATGTCTCATCAATCAGGGCTTGAAAACATCAGTTCTTGGCAACCTGAGATAGACATCTAAACCACATTCATCAGCCTTCCACAATTTACTTTTCCTTACTTCCCTTAGCTTTGAGTGACATGGAAAATGTGGTTTCACAATCTAATAACGTATTTGGCCCAGTTGGTTTCATTGAGCTAGAATTTGTGAACTGCATTTAAGAAAACCTCTCACTGATTCATTTCTTTGATATTTTCTTGTCTTATCATATTCCTTTCCTAATTTCTAAGACTAAAATCTGCAAATATTAAGGAGGGAGGTGGGGATGAGAGTGTCTAGCTCTTAGACTTTGGATGGAAAGATGGCAGCTTTGGTTAATCCATCCTCTTGCACACCAGAATCTAGACAAAAGACCCAGAACAACCCATGCCTAAAGCTTCCATTATGGCTTTAAAATTAGCATGGTCCTATGGAGGAAAGACACATATTAAAGCATTAGTAAAAAGATAATTGTGATCATAGTAACAGGGCACATTGACTGCAGGCAGCTGTTGGTGGTGGATTCCCTGCTACTTTCAAGCCCAGATGTTTAGAGGAGAGGAAGGTCCTTTTGGCTGCTACTGACTATTTCAGTGCCTGATGGTGCTTGATGCCCTGAAATAGGAGAGAAACTTATAGCAGAGGCTCACAACGAAATACCAGATGTTGCGAGCCATCTGCGACCTTGCAATGAAAATGCGCCAGATGATCACAAGGAGGGTGGTGTTGAATGCATACTGGATGTTCCTTAGCCTGACAAATAAAAGAGAAGCACATTAAGAAAAATTACTTAAAACAATACCCTGAGATGCAGCCTTAACATCTTTGGATCAAACTTAAAGAGGAATTTCTGCACTGCAGAACACTTTTAAAGTGATCTTATTTATAAAATGGAATGATGTGGCCCTCCTGCCTTTTCTGTTTATTAGCAAGGATACTGGTGCCTGAACAGGTGTCTCCTTTGTGTCCCAAAGCTACCGCCTCCTACATGACCCTGCATAGAAATTATAATGCAATGAATGCAGTGACGTGATAGATTCAGCTACACCAGCATGCCCCAGATTTCTTTGATTCCATGCATTCTGATTTCAGACCCGAACTGAGACTGAATTAACATTGGTGGTCGATTGCCTAGGGATGGACTAAGAGATGTCCTATTGTCCATGTTTTACTCTGGTGTGTCAGCAACTTTTAATAACATCGACAATGAGATTTTGGTGACTGGCTTATGGAACGTTTACAGGGATTTACAAAATGCTCCTTCAGTGGGTTTGTTCCTCCCTCGCTGCGACATCTCAGACAGGTAATGTCGGGCAATGGTTCATCCTCCCCAATGGTCCACTTTCAGGGTCTTGCAGGGTTCTGCTCCCCCCCCCCCCCAACCCTATTTATTGCGAATGTCAAGCCATTTGGGGAAATTGTGAGATGATTTAGGCTAAACTGTTATCATTATGCTGATTATATTAATCTCTGTTTCTACTTTTTGTCAAACACAGATTCTACAATTCTACACATTTCTTACTTTCCCAGTGTCTGGCCAAGATGAGGATCAGGACAAAAGCAAACTAGCTGTGACCTAGCTTGGTCAAGATTGCTTGGTCTTCTGTGTGTGCGCGCTATGTTTTGATATTTTGGCTTGTACTGGTAGTGATGGAGTTTATGCTACATTTGGGTTACTATGTAGTTTATATGTTCCTGATTTATTATAGAAGCACTTAGAAACTGGGAATATAAATCTTTAAAAATTACTCAACAAACTCATGATTCATTTGTGACACCCCAGAAATGGCAACAGCCTGTCTTACACTTGTAGTTTCACAGCAGCCAGTGTTTTCCAGAGTGCAAAGTGCTGTTCCTTGAAAGGCATAACACTGGTCCTCCAGAAGTACCTCTGTCCCTGTTTGCATGTTCTTTGGCACTTCTGAGTATTTGGTCTGGGGGAGATGAGCAGGGCTTATACTTTTTTTTAATTGGAAAAAAGGAGCCCAAGATCTTTAATTAGAATGTTTTAGAACTTTATAGGTTCTAGTTCCAAAATATCAAATCCAACTTTGAAGCCTCTATTTTATTTGGGAATGGGAGACAGGGAGTGAGGGTAAAATCTCCCCAATCTCCAGTACAAGTGTATTTCTAGATTCTATTTTAAAGTTTTACACAAGCCCTGGAAATTGTCATCGACCTTTAGGAGTTTCCCAAAATCCAAAGCTGCCTCTCGCGCCTTTCTTTTTTCCTGTCCTAAATGAACCTTTGGAACTTCTGCAGCAATAGATCTGTAACCCCTCTCTGCCTCTTTAGGGGTAGGGGTGTGTGTGTGACTAATAACTCACTGGTGAGGAGGACTGACTACTTCCATGACAGTATCATGTGCTGCTGCTGCACTATGAGGCCAGTCCAACCCCCCCTTTTTTCCCACAAGACGGGCAAGGAAATATTAAGCCAGATCCTGAGCTGATGTAAATAGGGAGCTATGTCATTTTTATCTCACATGAGATCATTCTCAACTTGACACAGGTTCTATTCACCTGTCCTCGTCCCAGGAATCGTATCATTCAATTTAAAACAGAAACCCTTGCCTTAAAAACCCTTAGATACAGCTACCCAAGGCAGCTGGGGGCCGTTACCACATTTGACCATGTATGGCTTACTTTCGTAAGTGCTGCTTTGCTGCAGGAATCCCAGACATGTCCTCATTCAGCAAATATTTCTTCGCTCCTATGCAGTAATTTTCAATGTATTCCGACCAATGCAGCTGACGCACATCAAAGTTGAATAACTGTAATTAAAGAAAAGGAAAGTTAATTAAATGCCACAGTCCGATTTGCAGTAAGAGTAAAGCTGTACAACTTCATGCTGTGATCTTGAACTGAGTTCCACTCGGAACAAAGCCTAAAGATTTCTGAACCACAAGATTCAATGAAGAAATGTACAATGAAAAAATATGACTCCAACTCTATCATACTACTGTTCATTAGAGTCACCTGGCTCTGCTTTCAACTCACAACCCTCTGACCTTAAAAAACTAGTTATTTCCTGTCAACTGTCTTGCATGTGGTTATCTGTAAATGTAGAGTCACTACAAAAAAACAAACCATCTTGCTAGAACAGAGACTGCATATTGAGAATACATCAGAAAAATGTCCCAGTTCACTGGTGTCATACTGGGATTATATTTTTAGTGAAAATAAATGGACCAGACACTGAATCAACAGGTCCCTCTGTGTCAGTAATTCAGCTGGGCAGAGCTACATTCTTTCTCAGTATCTATAGCTCCAGAAATCCAAGAAATTGTTTATTCAGTTGTTTGACATCAGTTTGTCAGATTGCATTGCTAATGACATTTAGTTTCATAGATCAAGATTTTAAATGGAAAAGGTGTCAGCAATGCTCTCAGGGGATTGTAGGTCTAACAGAGCGAAGAAACAGCTTAACCAAATACGAATAAAGAGGAAGTGCTTTCTTTGCAGAGAGAACTGTTAACTATGAAGCAGGGTTTTATGAATGAATAAGAAGATGGCTGATGTGACTCCACAGAAACATTTTCAAGGAAGATATGCAGAAAAGAACTCTTCACTCTCAAGACCACCCAACCCTTTCAGCTTGGTGCAAGAGCACTGGCATCAGCATGGCTGTGAGCTAGAAGAGAATTCTGGGTATGGCCACAGAAAACAGGAAGGTTACCTAGCTGGATTCACAGTGTAGAGGTTCCATGACTTGTGAGGCTTTGTACTACATCTCCTACACTGGGGATCTGCCTGAGTATTTCACAAGGAACTAGACCAATTTTATTCGACCACTGAGTCCCCATCTCTCTGCAAGTATATGATACAGCCCCACAGGTACTTTGAAACTCATCCTAGGTCTGCTCATTGTATTCCTTCAGCCCTGTTGCTGATCTTTCCTTCACTGCCCCACTCATGTGCAGAAGTACTTAAAACCAGCAAAGAGTACATTAGATTTTGACATCCTGCAGTTATTGCTCTACAGCTGCTCAAATCTAACAAGAACTTGTTCATACTGTATGTTTTCTCTGGCTAAGACACTGTACTATTTTCTAAAATAATGTACTTACGGCCCTGTCCAACTCCCATTGACATCATTGGAAAGAAGAGGTTACTGACCTGTAACTGGAGGTTCTTCAAGATATGTGGTTCCTATTTGTATTCCAAACATGAGTGCCATGTGCTGGATCTGAAAGATTTTTGCAGAAGTGTTCATTGACCCGCACTTGCATGAGTCACCTCATGTCTCAAGCGAGGTTATATTAGGTTGTGCGGGTCAACGCCTCTTCAGTGACACTCTTACCACTGAGTAGATCAGTCTGAAGCAAAGGGGAAGGAGGACAGGTATTGGAATACAAATAGGGACCACACATCTCAAAGAACCTCCAGTTACAGGCAGAGGCGACATATGGGCAGGGGGCACACAGGGTCATGTGTCCCTCCAGAAATGCTGCTTGGCTTGTACTGAGCATGCTCACATGGACTGAGCAGACTCAGTAACATCCGCTGAAGCCACTGCCCTCACTCTGTCCCCCCACTATCAGCAGGTTCAGGTTGTCTCTGGACAGGTAAGTAACATCTTTTCCTTCGAGTTGTGGTCCCTAAATGTATTCCAAATGTGGGTGAGTATCGAGCAGCGATCAGCATGGAGATGGGTGCCAAGATGCAAGAGATAGGCACAGGCTGCAATATGGCACGGTCCACTGCAGCATCTTCAGCCGTCTCTTGGGTGATGGTGTAATGGATGGTGAAGGTATGTACTGAACACCACATCGCTGCCCGACAGATGTCCTGCCAGGAGACATCTGCGAGGGAGCTGGATGTGGCTGCTTGATACCCATTTTGAGATTCATTGGGAGGGAGGGCTTGGCCCTTGAATCAGTCATCAATGGAAATTAACAGTCTTGTTGACACACGAAAGGCATAAGTTCTGTGGAGGTAGAATGCTAGCGCATGGCAGACGTTGAGGGAATGGAGGGTCTTGTCTGCAGGGGAGACGTGGTGGATAGATTGGTTGAGGTGGAACTGTGAGACCACCTTCGGGAGGAACGTGAGATGCAGTCACAAGGAAACCGTGTCTCTATGAAATACAGTGAAAGTGTGGGGATAGGGGGGACAGCCATCATGGCCGCTAGTTTGCTGACCTGCGGAGCCAAAGTGATGGCCACGAGGGAGATTACTGTCATGGAGAGACGTGAGAGGGTGCACGTTACCATTGGGTTGAAGGGTGGAGAGGACAAGATTAAGGTCCCCCAGGGTTGTGGGTTTTAGTACTGGCGGGAAGCTATTGAGAAGACCTTTCATGAAGTGAACAGTGGTGGGGTGAGTAAACACCGAGTTGCCATCTTCAATGCTTGGTCCATTCCTTCTTTGTTGCATTGTAGAAGAAGAACATCCTCCTAAACAAAACTGAAGGCTCGTATGAGTCTAATTAACAAAACTGGGGGGAAATACATTATTTCTCTTTCTTTCAAGGAAGCGTTTTTAATGCTGACCATCCCTGGAAGATGCTATTCAAAGGCTCACCTATAACTCAAATATAATAGGCTGGAAGACTAGAGGTAAACAGAACTGTGATTGAGAATATGAGCAGTTTAGCAACAGGTATACTTACTCTCCTGTCCTCTGGACTGAGCTGGGCCATTAGCATGTTCATATTTTCTGAAGACCACTCCCAGGACTGACAGGTGAAATATTCCAGAAGCATCATAGACTTGTGCAGCCGATTGAAGATCTTCATCATCCTGGAACAGTGCAGAGGTATGGGAACCGTGCAGAGCCACAGCAACACATATAATGAAATAAGGAGAACTTGCTCTTATCTGAAAATTGGAGTTTTCATGCAGGGTTCTCCTACTTCACATAATAGGTTTCTCCATGGAGATTAATGCCTTAGTTGCTTTTGCTAGTTATTGTGAATCTGAGTTTTGGGACTCAGCCATCCAGCAGCCTCCTCTTTTGTTCAGCAGGCTGATAACTTCCTTAGCAAGTATATAGCAATTCCAACTGAGGCCCGGATCCTGTAGCTGGCTCCTCAGGGACAGACCCTGGTTCCTGAGAAGATCACTGCTGACTTCAGTGAGACTCAGCATGAGCGTGAATCTGTACCTACACAGAGCCAGTTGCAGGACCATGGCCTAATTTACTAGTTTGAACTAAACAACAGTAACAAACGGACTAATTCCTGGGTAGGTCTGCCAATTGGGGAATCCATTACACAATGTCAGTTTTTTCAGATATGTACATTTCCTTTCTTTCTTAGTGCTTCCTCACTGTGGATAATAGTCTACACATAACATAGGTCCTGGATATCTTACAGACCCCCTGTCTCCTTGTGTACTATTGCAGCAGTTTTGAACAGTTCTGGTGCTCTAAATGATGTCCCCTTTCTTAAATGGGAAGGTCCTGGTGGCAGAGCACTCTGAGTGAAGGATTCTTGACATCTGTAAAAATCACACAACCATAGCTGCTGTGAGTCTGGTAGCTATCTCTCAGAGTTCCTTTTCAGGAGGAAGGATTCATAGATTCCTTGGCCAGAAGAAGGGCCCATTGTGATCATCTAGTCTGACCTCCTGCATAAAAAACAGGCAATAGAACTTCCCCAAAATAATTCTTAGAGCATATCTTTTAGTAAAAAACATCCAATCTTGATTTAAAAATGGTCAACAATGGAAAATCTATCACAATCCTTGGTAAGTTGTTCCAGTTGTTAATTACTCTCACTGTTAAAAAAATCTATGCCTTATTTCCAGTCTGAATTTATCTAGCTTCAACTTCCAGCCATTGGATTGTGTTATACCTTCCTTGGCTAACTGAAGAGCCCATTATTTAATATTGGTTCCCTGTGTAGATATTTATAGACTAATCACCCCTTAACCTCCTCCTGGTTAAGCCAAATAGATCGACCTCCTTGAGTCTATCACTAGAAGACATGTTTTCTAATCCTTTAATCATTTTCATAGCTCTTCTCTGAAACCTCTCCAATTTATCAACATCCTTCTTGAATTGTGGACACCAGAACTGGATGCAGTATTCCATCAGTGGTCACACCAGTGCCAAATACAGAGGTAAAATAACCTTTCTATTGCTACTTGAGCTCCCCCTTGCTTATGCATCCAAGGACTGCATTACTTCTTTTGGCCACCGCATCACACTGGGAGCTCATGTTCAGCTGATTATTCACCACAACCCCCAAATCTTTTTCAGAGTCACTGTTTCCCAAGATAGAGTCCCCCATCTTGTAAATATGGCCTTTGTTCTTTGGCCTCTCTGTAGAAGATGCTAAGAAGGTACCAACAGTGAGGCTGGGTTTTGGGGACACCTGTCCACAGGGAGTTGAACACTGACCACTAAATCCTTCCACACAAGCCACCAAACAGCTGACAGAGAGTAACAATTCAACCCAGATTAACTCTGGCTGGCACCTGGAAAGTGAATGCATGTTGATGGCTAAGAAGTTAGGACTGAGTGTTTGTGGGGGAAGATTATGGGTGGGTGCCACAGCTGGTAAGGGGGAATCTGAATCATCTGTGCACTTGCTGGGGAGCAGGAGACCAGCAGAAGATGTAGCATCAGGGATAGAGGAGAAGGCAACATGATGCTGTGTGAAGGAAAGGAACTACTTGAAGGTGTGAAAGTTGGAAGAGGCATCTGAGGGACAATGAGAGAATTCAAGATGACGTGATGGAGGAAGGTTTGGATTTAGACATTGCAATGGGTGGTGGGAAGGAAGTCAAGGCTATATGTAACATCGACAGATCCTAGTCGTCAGCAGGTGGGATCGAACCTGGGACCTCCGGAGCTGAGTGCATGATCCTCTACTGCATGAGCTAAAAGCCATATGACCCTTAGCTAAGGTTGTAGAGCAGACTCATTAATCTGTGTCTCTCTCTCTCTAAGTTGTCTCAGTACCATTAGATGGGACAGAACACCACACCCAGGAGGCATTTGCATATGCCTATGCACTTACATATGCACTTGTCTGAGGTGAAGAGGAGGGGTAAGGAGAGAGTTTGGCAGCTGGGGCAGGCTCAGCTGAATACTCAATGGACTCTTAAATGCAAGGCTGTGTCCTGTTTGCCCAGCTGAGAGATCTGGGAGGTACTTCTCATCATTTGAAATTAAAATTTAGGATTATAGCTGACATTTCTGAAGGGATGTCTTACGGCCTGGATTATGTAGGGCATCAAACTAGATAATCACAGTGGTCCCTTCTGGCTTTATAATTTATGAACTTAGTGGCAACAATCTTGCTGAAAGGGGCCATCATTTGTAACACCAGCAATAACTATATTTAGCACTTATTACTGTTATTTATTTGCATTACAGTGCCTAGAGCAGTGGTGGGCAACCTGCAGCCCACGGGCCGCATGCAGCCCATCAGGGTAATCTGCTGGCAGGCCACCAGTTTGTTTACATTTGCACGGCTGCCCATAGCTCCCAGTGGCCGCGGTTCGCCTTTCCTAGCCAAGTGGAGCTGCGGGAAGCAGTGGCCAGCACGTCCCTGCAGCCCACGCCACTTCCCGCAGCTCCCATTGGCTGGGAACGGTGAACTGGGAGCCATGGGTGGCCATGCAAATGTAAACAAACTGTCTGGCGGCCTGCCAGTGGATTACCCTGATGGACCGCAGGTTGCCCACCACTGGCCTAGAGGCTTTTGCACTGCTCTAATTTATGCCCAGTTTTCTATGGTTCCTAGGGGCCATTCCTGAAGTTGGGGATAACTACGGCTCTAGGTGTATGGCCCATTTCCTTCAGCCACGTCAGGGGGTAGGGTAACATCACAGCTGCGATAGCAGCTCTATGCCATCCAGGGATTTCCCTACAGATGGCTGCTTAAACCAGCTATATGCTGCCTGAGTGGGCCAAAGCAGCTGGCCTGGTCCACTGTTTTTTTTGTGATTGTTAAACAAGCAATAAAGCAGGAAAGAAGCTGTTATACTATTTACACAGGGGTTCCCCACACAAGGGTCCTGGATGCCTTCATTTTGCTTAGCCACACCGTTGCCAATGCTCAGAAATCATCTGTAAGTGTAAATGTTCTTTTTAAATGCAGTTCAGAGCTTATGAACACTCAGAAACACACATTACACTTTTCCAACTGTCAGACTGTTGTATGCGGGTTGTCACCTGCTGGACGTGTCACTGACCTACAGGTCAAAATAACTGTGTGGTAACACTCTGAACATTGCAAAGCCTGAGTCTTTATGCATTGACACAATTTCACGATAGACTGAAGTAACAACAGGATATCGCAGTGATCAAAAGCTTGTGTATGCATGGCAACAAGGCCAGGTTTAAGCACAGACAATAAAAGTAAAGGACTGAGGCACCACCCTTTTGTCTACCCACACTTGCTGTTCAATGCTTGACCTGATTCCTCTTCGTGGGGTTCTGGTAGTGGGACCAGAGGGAGAGGCCACTCCTGACCTGCTGGCAGCTTGGGAAACCACAAATTGTGAGACCAACTCCATGGAGCTGAGTCTGATTGAAAATCTAAGACTCTCCCAGGAAAGCTGTGAGAGCTGGGAACCGTGTGCTGGGCTGAGCAAATGAGGTTCAGTTCTTTCTTCTTGAGTAAATGGCTCAAGAGTAATACTGGAGAAAGGAAGACAACCAAGAACTTTAAAGCGAGTGCAGATACTGTGGGGCTGATTTTCTCAGGACATGTTAGAGCCCTTCTCCTCTGATATTTTTAGGTATGATAATATATGGAGTAGCGCAACTTCTCACCTGGGCTTTCTTCCTGTTAACCTCAAGTAGAAGTCGTAGAGCATGGCTGGAGCCTTATGACTGACAGCTATCCAGTACTGGTTTATCAGGTGGTTTGAGGTTGTCTGAGCCCTGGGTATTCTGAAGGCCTGCTCAAGGGGGTTCCTTTTGAATGTGGATATGACATAGTATCCTGTAAGATAACAGAGAACAGATATTTTGAATTAGACATGCATCACTTTTAGAACAGGCTGCCATGAGCATATCAATGTGCTCAGATCTATTAATATTACCAGGTAATATGGTCATAGGGAAATAGCTGGATTATATGATTTACATTTTGTCAGAGGAGAAAGATGGCTGGTTCATGCTGATTAGTTCATATCCTATACATATGTAAAAAGAAGTGGTGGTGTTATAGATATAAAAATCAACAATGAGAGCCCACTAATTGGGACTTTACATATTTCCCAACTCGTGCATGGCCTTTGTTATATTTATCACAAATGTATGTTGGATGTAGTCTCTGTCTTTTCCACTGTCCTTAAAAATAGAGGATGACAAGATAAGCTGGCCCAAAATTTGATCAGTTTTATATTTATACATTTTTAACAACATAAATCTCTTTGCAAAAATCCCCGTCATTCATTATGATTTGAGGGACTGGTCCTACTCCATGGCAGTCTCGCCATCAAGGGGGAAGGATTCAGGTCTATATGCAGTCTTCATATCAGGATTGGATGTCTCTCTGAAATATATGCTTTAGTCAAACACAAATTATTGGGCTGAATAGAGGAGCAAATGGATTACATTCTTTGGCATGCATTGTACAGAAGGTCAGATAAAATAATCTAATGAACCTTCTGGCCCTAAACATCTATGAATCTGGGCTGCTAGTTATTTAAAACAAATGCTTAACTAAAACCTAATGGCAACACTTATGAGCAACTCTGCCATAATGAAACAACATATGATGGAGGAAACATTTCAAGAGGGAGCCAGTTTCAGCTTCAAACTTTCAACAACAGTGAATTCTAATTCTACTCTCAAATAGAGCGGTGTAAATCCAGGGGAACGCCATGAATGTCAGTGGTTACTCCAGATTTACTCTCATATAACTCAGAGCAAAATTTGACCTACTGACTTTAAACTATGATTGTATTTCTTAAGAGAAGAGAACTTCAATAATTTTCAAAAAAGTGCCAGTACATGTATTGTGTTGTACCGAGAAGAAACAATGAGCAGATCTCTATCATCTATGCATTGTATAGGCTAAAAAATCCTCCTCACATTCCTTCAGAGCAGAATTGGTTCAGGGTAACTAACTGCAATCATCATCTGCACCACGGACTTTTGTGGGATTTGTTGTCTATGTAACAACGAAGTTAATTCCATTGTAGTCATAATCTATGGTGCCTGAGAAATGAGACTAAAATGGCAACCTCTGTATTCATATCACATACTAAGGGTATGTCTACACTTAAAATGCTACAATGGTACAGGTACAGTGTGGCAGCTGTGCCACTGTAGTGCATCAGTGTGGCCACTACCTACGCCAGCAGGAAGGGTTCTCCTGTCCGCGCAGGTAACCCATGTCTCCAAGAGGCAGTAGCTAGGGCAACAGAAGAATTCTTCCATCCACCTAGTGCTATCTACACTGAGGGTTAGGTCAGCTAAACTATGATGCTCAGAGATGTGGATTTTTCACAACTCTGAGTGATGTAGTTAAGCCAATTTAATTGTGTAATGTACACTAGCCCTAAGAAACAAAATACTTAGGGCTGATCCTCTGACCTGCTATATGAGGGAATCCCCAGGTAGCACAGAGTCACTATAATGTCACCGCTCCTGACCCTTGGGACCAGAGGCAGCTGCCTATACCTCCAAAAAAATTTACTTCTCGATGGGAACCACATGGAACTGTGTTCCTGTTGTTGCTTTATTCACTTGGCTTATGTCACAAATAGAAATCCAAATCAAAATGCTGACAGTCACAAATTACGTCTAGACCATCCTCATACCGGATGATTCCAGACTTAGTGACTGGACAGTCCTCTGCTAGGTATCGTATGGTCTGTTCATCACTGTGCTATTCCTACTTAAGCATATGTAGGAATGTAGTCTGTGACTGGGAAGATGCCAGTTAGATTTTGCTAGGTGGAGGAGTCAGACACAACATTAAAAAAAAAACCAAAGAGTACAGTATAATTTTAGCTTGAGATCAGTGTTGTCTGTCTTTGTTTCCAACATGCTACAAGGAGCTTAATGGCTAAAGTCCAATGTTCCTCAAACTTGTTTTGCAACTGTCTAATCAGAGCTAGTATTCCTTTTATTTTGTAATTCTATAGTTCACTTGGGGGCCACAGAGTAGAGATGCTCTTGTTGTGGAGATGCTTCTCTTTACCATATATTCATTCACTGAGAAAAGTAAAAGGTGGAAGTGAGAGATAAATAGTATTACATAATCAAAAAGAAAACTGCAAAGCATGGGAAATTAGTCTGGTAGAAAAATCTAGAGTGAGGCTATTGTTTTTTTCTTTACAGAATTCCATACGTATCCAGAAGCTAACACGATAAGTGGCCATATACATTCAGTACAGCTCCCTTGGGTAATTAGGGAAAATAAATCACAAGCCTTGGCTCCAAAAAAGCACAGGTTTGTGCCTTATCAACTGAAAGGCCAGCTCCACTAGCTCATCCAGTCAAGGAAGCCCTAATACACATAAACATGTTTGATACAGCATAGCAGAGGTGCACATACACAAAAGCTAGCACCCCAGCTCTGCAGTACCAAGGTCCATAATGACAATCTGCCGAAAGTCCTATGGATTCTAGACAGCTGGAATTTTAAAATTGGCTCTTCCTCCTTGTTATCATTCTGCACATTTGGATCTGATGCACTTGACCTTTGAAGTAATGCGGGAGTGCACTTTGCCTACCACTTTGAGCCAGACATATGATGATATTACAGACTCCAGTAAATAGGCTCTTAACATGCTTTCTTTAAAGAATTTCCAGTTTGCTTACTGCTGTGGCATCTCAGCCCATTACATACCAAATGAGCATCAATTAAAGTCATGACACACAGAGGGTGGGGGGAGTAAAATGCCTCATATCTGACAAAGCTATGGCCAAACAGATGAGGTCTGACAATAATGCTGAGTTAGCTAACTTGGGCTTTGACAAAACAAGTCCATTGAGAACACCTGCTTGACCCCAGAAATTCAATTCTAGTGACTCTCAGCAGAACTGCTTCATTTAAAACCAGCTGTGATTACGGTGCATGGAGAATGAGATAGTTTCTAAAGACAATCAGATCTCAAGTTACATAGAGCTTTAATGACTACAACCATCACCTTATATTGCACTCAGAGGCACACTGTAAACCAGTGCAGTGCATGGAACACAGGTGCCCAAATTAACCCAATCCACTAGGCAGGCAAGTTGCCACATTCAACACTAGCTGAAGCATCCATGTGGTTTTCAAGAGTGGCTCCAAATAGAGAACACTGCCCTTAGCTCACTTGGAACTAAACATGCATGACTGTGGCAAGGTCTATATCAGCAAGGAAATACCTCAACCTCTGAGCTAAATACAGATTAAAAAAAATAATATGAGCTACTGCAGTTACTGGTGAGTCCAAGATGTACCCTGAGACTGCCAAATCTCTGGTAAGGGAATGACCTGATCCTCTGACAGATGGAGTACTCACAACCCTCACTTATTCAAACCAAAACAATTTTAAGTGAACACACTTGTACACACACTTCTTCAGTTTTCACCTATAAACAGGCATCATTTTATTACAATATTTCCAAGTCACCAACACTGACAGTAAGTAAAAAACAAGCAAATTAATAGTCCTAGTTAATTATGTCTGTTTTCTCCTGGCTTTGATGGAGGTGGAGAGATATGCAGGAGGGGTTGGGGCTGATGTGTTCTTTCCATAGGCTATGTAGCTTGGCAGGTAACACACTGTAGGAATAATTTCATTCTTTATTTTCCCTGCTTTTGTGGATTTACATTAGGGAGAGTCTCACCTGGGCAGCGTAAACTAGCTGGGTTAACATTAATGATGTTTTGTGGAGAAATTTGAATTAAGCTTCAGAGAATTTAGCATTTTCATCTTGGTCCTTCACTAAACACTAACCACAGGATGACAAAACTCCTTCTGATGACATAGTTTAAAAATCTTTAAAGAGAGGGTTTTAAGGTTGAGGAGGAATTGACACCAGTTCTACTCTGAAAAGTGGCAATGTGAAAAGGGCACCTTCTCACTCAGCAGGCCTGTTTCTTGAGTGTATTCAGAGTCATTTCTGCTTACTTTAGAGTCAAAAATAAACATTTAAAGCCTTTTACCTCAGTTAGTCCTGCAGAGCCAGAACAGCTAGGAGAGACGGCTCAGGCTTCTGTTTGTTTGTCTGCATTGACAAGACAATTGTTTACTATATTTAGACCTGGGGAAATCCTTTATTTTCAAGTGGATTTGCCCACATGTAACTGAGGGGATAATTTGAAAACAAATGAGCTACCTCCTGTAACCTAGTGCCTGATTTATCTTGCAGAACCTTGTGATGAAACCCAAGAAGGAAAACACCCACCTTACCTCTCAGAATCTAGGTGATAGTGATGATAACAATACAATGTGGCACCTCTTGAACATGGGAGTAAAGTGGTAAATAGAGCTCATCAGGCCCAATCACGGGAGTACTTCTTCTAAACAGCTTTATCATCAACATACAATGAATTCTTTTATTGTGGAAACCAAATGGGTTCTATGGTATTTACAAGTGTGGGGAACCTTATTCTTTGTACTTCAGACAAGGGCAGCTATACTTGACCATAATTACCTCTGTGAATTTTCCTGAACACACTTGGGCTATTCAAAATCTACATTTGGCCATTTGTTTCTCCATTGAATGCTAGCAAATATAGTTCCATGTTTCAGGCACGCATCAAGCTCCAGATTCCTGTCTTGCTATCTTTCCCTCTCCATTAATCCCACTTTGGAATTATTACAAGGGTGGGAGGGTGGGTTGGGAAGAGAAGAGTTTTAGTATAATTTGACTAGTTATTAAAAAAAAAAAATCTTGCCAAGTAGTGGAGACTGAAAATTTGGGATATAAACCAACCCTGGGGAACAGAAGGCTGTGTCTGGGTGTCGCGCTGAAGGCAGTGTCCAGGCCGTCTCT